GCTCCAATCCACCCCAGTCGTGCACGCGCGCCCACACCTGTCTCCAAACGTCGGCCCAAGCGCTGGAGGCAGCGCAGCACGCATGCTCCCCACGCTCATAGAGGCCACGAACAACGAAACTGGAATCACTGAAGAAGACCGTGCCAGACATAGCATGCTGAAGCCCTCGGAGCAACGCATACAGTTCGGCACAGTCGATATATCGATAGGGGTCTTCAAGGAGACCAACAAAACCGCGCGCGCCCGATGAGGACAGTCGAGACTGATGGACACACAAACCCACGCACAGGCTCGCGCATGCGAGGGCAAATCAGCATCATAAACACTGCCATCGAGGAACACGTGTTCACGTAAATCAAGCGGGCCTCCTCCGATCCACCTGTCAGGCTGAAGGTCCGAGCACGGGAGAGGAGCAGCAGGCACCAGCAGCCTCTCCGCGAACAAGAGAGGGAGAGGATCCAAGGAAGCCTTCGCCAGTCTGGCGATGAACTCGGGCGGCGAGAGATGCGGCACTAGCTCTTCAATCCCTGGGCAGGAGGCACGCCGATGCAGCAACGTGCCAGGACCGTCGACACAAAACTTGCACTCTCCAGTGGGGGGCAACTTCGAAACCCACTGGCGATGCTGAGGCCATTGGCCCCCCACTAACGAGTGAAGCGATGTGACACTTTGTTCCTGGGCCGTTCGGCATCTGGAAGACAGAACCTGACGGATGGGCTCTAACAGACAGCCGTTGGCAAGCTCGGCAACCCCTTCGCGCTCAGCAACCTTGCTCCAGAGAGTGGCTTCCGCAGCACGAACAGGCCAGGGACGCAAGGCCCGAGGACACTCAGAGGAGAGGTCGAGAGCTCCAAGCCCAGGGACCCGCCACGAAAAGCCAGAAATCACAAGGCCAATTCTCTGGGCGGTTGCGGCGCAAACCGAGAAGGGGCCCCGAATGCTGGACCAGGGGCTGACGTGACCCTCCAAACGCTCAACCTCAGCAACGATCCCTTGCTCCAGCATTCTTCGGGGAAGCCAATTGTCCCATACTGCGTGGGCGAACGCCATGAGAGGGTCGAGGTTGAGGGGGTAGAAGGGGTCCACAGACGGCTTGTGCGCGAGCGTAAGCATGAGCGCGACAGACCGACCAGACAATCGCTGACTCTGCACGTGCGCCTGCAGCGTGCGCGCGGCGCGGAGGTCGCAACCATTCGTGCCAAGTACACTGCCTCTGTACCGAGTAGACGAGAGGACGGCGGACTGCAACACATTGTGAAGAAAACGGCGCTTGCCAAGACCTCGAAGCAACAGCAACTTGTGACCACGGCGCATAGCAGGCTGCTTGCGCGCACGCCTTGCGGCGCGCGGTCTGACCTTGCCCGCCCCGGAATCGATGCCCAAATTGCGTTCAACTTTGACAGCCAGCACACGACGACGCTTGAGCTTTTTCTCTAGGCAAGCACGGAGCGACGGCGTGGAGGCCACAATGCGACTCTTTTTGGCAGCGACAGGCATCTGGATAGCGGCGAGCTCGCTGTGCAGGAGCGAAGTAGCGCCTGCAAGCTCCGCCGCGACGTCGGCTTCTCGCCCAAGCCGCTGGAGCCCACAATCGTCGACAACCGAACCAATGCAAACGTTCGCAAATGCTTCTTGGACCGTGTCCAAAGGAAGCAGCAACATAATCTGCAGCATGAGGGTGGCAAAATGGCACCCAGGCAAAACTGCCTGCAACGTGGACACGGGACAGGACACGGCATTCTGCAGAGACAAAATCCTAGGGCACAAATAGAGCTCGACGGGTAGCTTCAACTGGCGGATCGGGAAACCTGATCTCGTGGCGGCCGAGACTAGCAGAGAGTGCTTAATTCGCTCGAAAGCCTTCTGAAGCCCCTAGCCCATTCGGCGGACGCCGGCTGAATCCAGACCAGTTTGTCAGAGCTGCGCCCAGCCGTGGACCACCAGAACTGCCTAGGGTGATCAGCTTGCCACTTAGCGACTGACGGCTTGCGCAGTCTGCCCTGCAAGCGGCCGAATACGTGTATGAGCGCGACGGGGCGAACACCTCCATCGCGCTTGTCCAGGAACACAACCTTGTTCCACAGGACAGGCCACCGACAAGTGGATTCTATTTCCATGATGACGTCAATGAGAGACTCTAACGCGTAGTCGGACAGAGCAATCAGCTGGCGCGGACACAGCCGGTCAAAACCACAGCCAGACCTGCGCGGGAAACTCTTCACAACAGGCTTAAAATGTTCGAGGCTGGGTCGCGGAAAAAGCGGGCCGAGATCGTCAGGCCACTGGATGGCGTCATGGCGCGCTCCAACCCCCACCAGTCCGACCACTCCCGAGTCGACAACTCCACCTCCTCCTGAAGCGCGGCAGGCGCACTGCCGTAGAGACTGCTGGCACGCCAGGGCACAGGTGGCTTCGAGCATGCATACAGCGCTGATACACCGTCGACTGAGTCCCTGCGCACCCAGTCTTTTCAACCCGCGAGTTTGCCCTGCTCAGCATTGCGGTGCGATCGCACCGCAAGCTCCTTGGTGATAGTGGCGGCGGCGGCAGCTAGCTCGAAAGGCAATGCGCGGGCAAGCAACAGCAGCGCGGCCCAGGGCCTGATGTGGACCTCACTGACGCCAGCGGCTCTAGCACGAGCGGGTAGCTGCTTAGCAAGGCGAAGAGTGCCCTGCCTTAGCGGCGGTGGCTGCCACTTGGCAAGCCCGTCAAAGCAACGGGCGACTAGGCGCCACCATACCCCTGCTGGGCTGCGGCGTGGGAAGGGCAACGCCTGTGGCACAGGCGGCGTGCAGACAAAGATGGCGAGCGGCTCAGCTCGCCCGAAGTACTGCGGGTGATCGACGGGGTTGAGGTTACGCAGATCGCCCACGTCGAGCTCGGCAGCGGCAACCCACTTGACCCACATGTCGTTGAGGCTGGCGTGCTGCATGGCGTCGCTGACTTCTTGCCACCGCACCGAGGGGTCGAAACGCCTGCACCCAACAGGTACGTCGACCGGAAAGCGGGAGGGCACGCGAACAATCTGATGCTGCAAGCAAGTGGCCGCCAGAGGCCGCGCTGTGAGCACAACAGGGTAACGCGGCGCGGTGCCAGCGTCGTGCAGGACCTCGAGACTCACCGCGTAGGAGAGGACCGAGGACGCCACAAAGAAATCGATGGTTCGAGCACCTGACGCGGCCGAGTTAGTACACGTGGAGCACGAAGGGCTGAGGACCACGGCATTGACTGCATCCACCCATCCGCTGCCTTGAAGATCAGATGGGGGCACTTGAAAATCGCCTCCAAGAACGAACGGCCCTTCACTGTGGTGCAAGTAAACTGCGATGTAAAGAAAGCCCCCTGGAACCAGCCCTGAGCAATGGAGCGCGCGGGCACGACCGCAGGCCAGGATGCTGGGCGCGCACTCGAGGTTGGTGAGGCCGACTGCGAACGGAACGAGTTGCAACAACCCGCCCGACGTACCACCAGCCCGAGTGACGGTGGCCTGTGGCATGACGACTCGCCATCAAACTCGCCGCAACCTCTGCTCCCAACTGGACCACATAGGAGAATCTGAAACGTGATGCTCTTGAGCTGCAACAGCATGTGCTTGCCGAACTCGGTCGTGGCCCAGTAAAGCCTCCAGTCCAGCAAGCCCACTAACATTTGAGGTGACGAACGACCAGCTTGAGCCGCCATCAGGAACTCGCCTGACCTCCGCCGCTGGAGCTGGTCGCGCGCTGCTTCTTGGCTGCGTGCAAGATGGAGTCGAAGACGGAGGATACCAGCTCGCGCTCGACGCCGCGAGCTGCCGCCAGCTGGTCCGCAGCGGACACGGGTGCATCGTCCTCAGTGGAGTCAGCCCTCTGCGCGTTGATGCACGCCAGCAACTCTTGGAAGGCTGCGTCAGCTCGGGCCTGAGCGGCAGCGGCGTCGGCTGCCCGCTGCTCGGCCAGGCGCTGGGCCTCAGCTGCCTGGGCAGCCTGCACGCGGGCGGCCTCAGCAGCGGCTGCAGCGGCTGGGTCCAGCTGCGGTGGCTGCTGGTGTTGTGGCTGCCCAGCGGGAGGAGCCATGTCATCGTCAGCAGGCTGAGCAGGAGCAAGCTGAAGCAGCGCCTGAAGGGCAGGGACCACTGCCTGCAGCTGCTCGCCGAAGGCCGTGAGGCGCGGGTCGGCAGCGCCGCAGTTGGCGAGGCCGTTGAGCTGCGCGATCGGGTCACCTGACGTCGCCTTCTGAGTGTAAGCCTTGGCAGCTTTACCCGCTGCCTCCTTGCACTTCTGCTGTAGCCCCTGTAGCTCGCCTTTGAGCTTGGCCGCATGTGCGATGGCTTCGTGCGCCTGTTCAGTAACTTTGTCGAAGGCCTTCTGCTTGCCTTGGACCAAATTCTGCGAGTGATCCTGCCTAATTCTGGCTGACTTGGCGGCGGCGCGCGGCTCTCCTTCGAGAACAGCACGCTGGGCGGCGACACGCTGGATGAGTTTGGGCGCCCAGCCGTCGGACACCAGGGCGAAATTTGCGGGATCCATACGAGCGTAGACGTCGAGCTGGGCGTCGGCAAGGACGGAGGGCCCCTTGTTGTTCTTGGGGGGGCCATTGGCCCAGACACCTTTGGCAGCACGACCTCCTTGTGGCTTGGGTACGTCTTGCGGTGCCTCCTTCCCGCAAACACGGCAGCGCGTGCGGCTGAGGTAGTTGAAGCGGTACCCGCACTTCTTGTGGCCGCAGCGCCACGTCTGAAATCCATCCATGGAACGGCGAGCGGGGAACCCGCAGCACAACAACTGAGAAAAGGAAGGAGGTATGACCTCCGAAGCTGATAGGGGCCGCTGATCCCATGTGCCAAAAAACCTCAGGTCTGAAGCAAGTGGCTACGGACTTGAACCCAAATGGCTACGGATCTCCTCCTCCTCCTCCTCCTCCTCCTCCTCCTCCTCCGCCTCCTCCTCCTCCTCCTCCTCCTCCTCCTCCTCCTCCTCCTCCCTGCCCACTGCTCATCCCTGCTTCCCCCGTGCCCTGTGGCTTCCTCCCCCCCTGGCTCGCCGCGCGAACACCAGGGGGGCACGCCCGCCGCGGGGCTGCTGCACGCGCCAGGAGAAGGACGCGGGGAGGCGAAGGAAACGGGGAGGACCAAGGGAAGCACGAGCGGCACCGGGAGGGAGGCCCCGGCCCCCAGCGACCCGGCTCGAACGAGATCGCGCCCCACTCGTGTGTCAGAGCTCTCCCCGCGCGGCCGCCCTCGTCTTCTTCCTCCCGCCTGCACGCCGGCCAAGTCGCCCCTCGGTTGCCCTGGGCCGCACAGTCCCACGCTGGAGCGGGGACTGCCTCGGCCTCGCCGCCGACGCAAACAGCGTCGAAGCGCTCCGCGCCCGGACGTCGTCTCTGGCCACCGGGGGGCTGCCAAGCCCAGATGGTCTGGTACCGGAAATTTTCGGTAGCGATTTCGACGCACCCCGAATTTCGGTAGCGACCGGATCTTCGTTTGAGGGCGTTGAAATAGCGGATTTCAGAACGCTCTGATACCGGTATTGGGCGCTACATTTCGGTATTTCGGTAGCGACCGATCTCTGCGGAGCGCTACCGGAAATTTTCGGTAGCGGACCGTCAGGGAGGAGCGGCACGGAAGGAAGACCCGGTCCCGGGGAAGGTGGGGAGAGCTCTGGGGGCTGGCGACCGGGAGCATCTGGTGGGCGGAGGTCTTGAGAGCGAGAGAGCCTGCGCCCGAGCCTGTTTTTGCGGCGGCGGGGCTTTAGTACGCGCTCGTCTTCGACTGCGCCAGGTAATCCGACCACTCCTGGAAGGGTGGCTTGATGAAGTGCGTCGGCTTCCACAGGTCGGGCGTGAGGTAGCCGAAGGTGGACTTGAGAGCGTCGAAGGTGGCCTTGATGAAGTTCCCCTTCGTCCGGGTGTGGCCGCACGAGCACGTGAAGCAGTCCTTCGAGTAGGGGATCGACTACAGAATTGATTTACCCTAGACTTGACTTGGATGGTTGCCAGATCTACGGCACAAATAGCTTCGTAGGTTCGACGACCGTGCCCCCTAGCACGTTGAGGCGTGCCAGAATGCCAAGTGCTGTCTGGTAGGGTTACTGGAATCTTCTAAGGGACCCCCCCTCTCCCCGCCGCACTTCGCCGCGCGCACCGCCCCCTCTTCCCGAGGCTCCCTAGGCGCTAAGACACGTCCCTGGCGGTCTCCAAGGCGTCCACAATCTCCAAGATGGCTTTCTAGGTGGGCCTGGGAGGCCACCAAGGCCACCGAGATGGCCCAAGATGCCTCCCAGACCGCCGAAGAGGTCCCAAAGAAGTCCCGACAGCGCTCCAAGAGGACCCCCAGCGCATTTTGGTTTTCGATGTTTTTCACGTCATCCCCTTTTCAAACTTCCGACGCTCCAAGACGGCCCCAGGGCCCCCAAGACAGCCCCAAGACGGCTCCAGAGGCTTCCAAGAGGGCCCATCGACAGCCCAAGAGAGCCCCAAAACGGCCAAAGAGGCGCCCAAATAAGCCCAAGAGAGCCCCAAGGCGGCCTCAAGAGGGGTCCAAGAGAGGGGGGACACGAACGGACAACTCCAGCCGCCTACCGCCCGAAGAAGCCCCCGGGAGACCTCAAGAGGCCTCCAAGGAGCCCCAAGAGGCCCCCTTCAAAGGCCTCCAAGAGGCCACCAGACGGCCACCAAGAGACCTCGATAATGCCTCCAACAAGCCCCCGAGGGGGCTCCCACGGCATCCCAACGATCATCATCATCATCATCATCATCATCATCATCATCATCATCATCATCATCAGCAGCATCAGCAGCAGCAGCAGCAGCATCATCGCCACTATCATCATCATCATCATCATCATCATCATCATCATCATCATCATCATCATCATCATCATCAGCATCAACATCATCATCATCATCAGCAGCAGCAGCAGCAGTATCATCATCAGCATCATCATCATCAGCAGCAGCATCACATGCATCAGCATCAGCATCATCAGCCTCATCATCACCATCATCATCAGCATCATCAGCATCATCAGCATCATCGTCATCAGTATCATCATCAGAAGCAGCATCATCAGCATCATCACCATCATCAGCAGCATCATCGCCACTATCATCATCATCATCATCATCATCATCATCATCATCATCATCATCATCATCATCATCATCACCCATCATCATCATCATCATCATCATCATCATCATCATCATCATCATCATCATCATCATGATCATCATCGTCATCGTCATCGTCATCATCAGCAGCAGCAGCAGTATCATCATCAGCAGCATCATCATCAGCAGCATCACATGCATCACCATCAGCATCATCAGCCTCTTCAACATCACCATCATCATCAGCATCATCTGCATCATCGGCATCATCATCGTCATCAGTATCATCATCAGAAGCAGCATCATCAGCATCATCATCTTCAGCGTCATCAGCATCAACATCCACATCATCATCATCATCATCATCATCATCATCATCATCATCATCATCATCACCATCACCACTATCAGCATCATCATCACGCAGCATCATCATAACCATCACCATCATCAACACCATCATCATCATCATCATTTGCATCAGTATCATCAGCATCATCAGAAGCAGCAGCCTCATCAGCATCATCATCATTTACATTATCATCATCATCATCAGCAGCAGCAGCATCATCCTCACCATTATCAGCAGCATCGCCACTATCATCATCATCATGCAGCATCATCATAACCATCACCATCATCAACACCATCATCATCATCATCAGCATCAGTATCATCAGCATCATCAGCAGCAGCATGATCAGCATCATCATCATCATTCACAGTATCATCATCATCATCATCATCATCATCATCATCAGCAGCAGCAGCAGCATCATCCTCAACATCATCAGCAGCATCGCCACCACCATCATTATCACCAGCATTAGCATCATCATCATCTGCATCATCATCAGCATAATCATATGCAGCACCATCGTCACAATCGCCATCATCATCATCATCAGCATCATCATCACAATTGCCATCACCATCAACATCAGCATTACCATCATCATCGTCAGCAGCAGCATCATCGTCAGCATCATAATCATTATCAGCACCATCATCATCATCATCATCCTCATCATCATCAACATCATCATCATCATCATCATCATCAGCATCATCATCATCATCATCATCATCATCATCATAGTCATCATCAGCATCAGCAGCAGCTGCAGCAGCAGCATGTTCATCCTTCGCAAGTACGGACTCCGGTGCCCCCTCGAAGGAAAGCTGCCGAGCATGCTAGGCTGGCACGGTGGCGGGACTTGCCGCAGGCAGCTGGATATGCTCGTGGGCTCGGCGAAACAATGACCTGTGGGGTAAATCAAGGCTGTACTCAATCGCCTACTCGAGTCCTGGATGCCGCAGAACGCGAGCATCTTCTTCATCACGGGCGACCCGACGACCGAAGAGCCGCGCGGGGCCGGCACCAGGCGCACGCGCACGCTGCCGCACTTGCCCGCCACCTTCATGGGCACGGTGTGGGGCAGGCCAATCTTGTTGCCCCAGTACCCACGGCGCACGGGAATGAGGCTGAGCTTCGCCGCGATGATGCCGCCTCGGATGGCCGTGGCCACCTCCTTCGAGCACTTCGATCCCAGGCCGATGTGGCCGTTGCTGTCACCGACCAGCACGTAGCAGACAAAGCGGTTGGTCTGACCAGCGGAGCTCATCTTCTGCACCGGGTGGATCTTCATCACCTCGTCCTTGAGCGTGCCCGGCGCGAAAAACTGGTCGATGATCTGGTACTCCTTGATCGGCAGGGAGTGCAAATAGATGTCCTCGATGGAAGTTATCTTCCCCTCCTTCACGAGCCGGCCGAGCTTGGTGCACGGGACCCACTCCTTCTCCTCGGCGCCCTTCTTGCCCTTCTTGCCCCCCTTCTTGCCCTTCTTGCCCTTGCCGTCGTTCTTTCCTTTACCGAAGCCGCCTTCACCCATGGCTGCGATGATCTGGTGCTGGCCACGGGACTCAAACGCTTGGGCCGAAACAATTCGGGAGGAGGGAGGGGGGCAGGGAGGGGGAAGGGGAGGAGGCGGAGGAGGAGGAGGAGAAGGAGGAGAAGTAGGAGCACGGAGGGAAAGAGGAGGAGGAGGAGGTGACGGAGGAGGCGGAGGAGCAGCAGCAGCAGCATGAGACGGAGGAGGACGAGAAGAAGGAAGAGTAGGAGGAGGAAAAAGAAGACAAAGAAGAACCATCTGGGCCGAGGCGCGCGTTCGCGCCCTGTGCAGTCAAAGGAGCCGCGCGCGCGCGGCGAACAGACAGAAGGTGGCTCGAGAGGACGCGGGGAGAGGGGCAAGCGTTACCAGCCTGAAAAGAATCCCTATCCCTATGATTGCCATCACCTGATCTCGGTGCCTATCTCAGAGGCTTCAGCCTCTGCGGGCACATCCCCGAGATTGCCATCGCCTTGGCTCGAGGCTCGTTCAGAGCGGGGTGAGACGGGGGGGCAGACCTGAGACCCGCCGCGGACGCCGAGGACCTGGACACCTGAGCAATGCACAGAAAACTCGTGGCGGTCGGCTCCTTCCACGCTCTCGGCCCCCCAGAGGGGGCCCCAGCAGAGCAGCCCGGGATGGAGAACTGGCCCACTAGATAGGCAGGAGAGCCCAGAATCGAATCGGCAAGTCGGATCGGCAATCGAAATGAATCGGATCGGCGAAAATCGGCAGCCCAGTCGGGAAAAGTCGACACGGCGGAAATCGGCAGGCTACGACGCCGCCAATGAGAAGCCGGAACCCAAATCGGAATCCCAGGTCGAATCGGATCGGAATCGGAAGCCGTCGACGTCGAATCGAATCGGATCGGAGAAGTCGAAACGAGCCCTGCAGGCGCGTGGGGGGGGAGGGGGGAGTGGGGAGTGCTCGCGCGGGAGCGCGAGCGGAGGAGGAGGAGGAGGCGGAGGAGGAGGAGGAGCATGGGCAGAAAGAGGAAGAGCGGAAGGCGGAGCAACATGAGGAGGCACAGCCAGGAGGAGGAGGAGCAGGAGGAGCAGGAGGAGCAGGAGGAGGAGGAGGAGGAGAGAGCAGGAGGAGGCACCCGCCCGACAGCAGGGCCTGGAGCAGGAGGAGGAGGAGGAAGAGTAGGAGGAGGAGGAGGAGGAGGAGGAGGAGGAGGAAAAGGAGGAGGAGGAGGAGGAGAAAGAGGAGGAGAGAGGAAGGAGAGAGAAGGAGGAGGAGGAGAGGGAGGAGAGAGCAGGAGGAGGAGGAGGAGGCGGAGGAGGAGGAGGAGGAGGAGGAGGAGGAGGAGGAGGGCTTTGGCCGCCCGTCGTGCGGTCGTTCCTTGCCATTTCTCCTGTCTGTTGACTTTTACTTTTTCTTCCCTCCCCCCGGCGACCGCTGGGTAGGAGGAGCATCGAGGGCATCGGGGCTGGATCGCTCGACACTGTCCGCAGCTCGAAGATCGAAGGTGGTGGAGGAGGAGGGAAGGAGGAGGAGGAGGAGGAGGAGGAGGAGGAGGAGGAGGAGGAGGAGGAGGAGGGGGAAAGGAGGAAGCGGAGGTGGAGGAGGAACGAGGAGAAGGGAGGAGGAGCGAGCACGCCCCGGGCCAGTCAGGGGCTGCGACAAAGGGCGTATAGCCCAGGGGGCAAGCACTACGCGTGTCGTGGGGCTCCCTGTCGCCCACATACGGTGGGGGCATTTTTTTTATCTCTGTGGGCTCCGCGCGCCGAGACCCGCGGAGGTTTCATGCATGCATTCGAAAGGGGGGGCGGCAGGGCAGGCGGAGGGCCGCGAGAGCACTTACAGCCACCAGCCGAGCCCTCACCAGCCCTCGGCAAGCCCCGCCGCGCTGCCTGCGCGGGCGGCCGCTGCCCTCGCGGCTCTCGCGCGCTCGCGGGCCGCCGCAGCGTCCGCGAAGCCGTGGGCTCGGAGGACGCCCTCGAGCCCTGGGCGGATCCGCCGCGGCTCGGCGGCCTCCGCCCGCGGGGCCGCCGCGGCCAGGCGCCGGGGCGCCGCGGCGCTCGGCGGCGCTGCATCCTGGCTCCCAGCGCCAGCCGCAAGTGGCGGGGGCGGGGCGGCTGCAGGCTGCCGCTGCGCTGGCGCGGGCGCCGCCTCAAGCGCCTGCGCCACCTCGCCGTGGCCCTGCCTGGCCTGGAGCGCCGCCGCCCAGCGCAGGCGCGTGCTCTCCTTTGGCGAGGCCAGCGGCGCGATCGGATCCTTCGACGCTGGCAGGATGCCACGTGCGAAGTCCGACCACGCCTGTGCCCTGGAGCCCTTCTTGCTCTTGGGCTGCCCAGCCGCCGCGCTGGCCCCGCACGGCTTGCCCAGGCCGCGGTGCGCGTACCTGGGGAGGCGGCAGTACATCCAGCAAGCCGCGCAGACCAGGAAGGGCTCGGAGTCGTCGCCCTCGACGCGCGACTCCATTAGGAGGTGGCCGTTGACCCTCCATCCCGCTGGACGGGCCGCATCTGCCGCCTCCGCAGGGGCTGGGCCGCTGCACGCCGCCACTGCCGCCGCCAGGCGCGGGCTGGGCGCGGGCGCCGAGGCCTCGCGGCGCCTCGGCTGCTCCTACGCCCTGCGCTGGGCCACTCGGCGCAGCACCTCCGCGGGCGTCTCGGCCGAGGCTGGGCGGCGCCTCGCGGGCGAAGGCCTCGAGCTGGAGGCGCCAGCTGCCGCCGCCGCTGCCAGGGCCGCCGCCGTGGCGAGGCGGGGGCCGCCGACAGCCGCCGAGGCCTGCACCTCGCCATCGTCAGCCGCGCGCACCTCCGCGTCGTGCATCATCCCGAACTCGCCGCGCCCCTGGGACTGCGACTTCGGTGGGCTGAATCCACCTGTCCCAGGGGCGGGCTCCGCGACGGCGGCGTACAAATAGTCGGCCTCGCCGTCGAGCTCCGCCGCCATGTAGGGGGTGAGGTCGACCAGCTCCAGCGAGCTGATGGGCCAGGAGTCCCGCATGCCCGACTCCGTGGCCTGGACCTCGAACTCGGCGGCGTAGCGCGCCGCGTCACGGGCTCGGGCCAGGCAGCCCTGGAGCAGGAGGGCCTCCTCGTCGGCGATGGCGCGCAGCGCCGCGCCCGCCTTCGCGAGCTGGTCCGCGAGGCGGTTGCCGTAGAGCTCCACCTCCGTGAGTTCGCCCCGCTCGACGGCCGCCCGCGAACGGTGGGCGGGGATGTGCTTCACGTGCACCCCCTCGGCGGCGTCGCCGACCCTCGCCCAGAGGTGGGCGAACTGGGCCGTCGGGCCCGCCGCCCTCTTCACGTCCTTGCAGGCCCCGACCGTGCCGAGGCAGTCGATCATGAGGTGGTAGTGGCCGACGATGTCCGTGAGGGCGACCACCGCCGCGTAGTCCTCGCCTGCCCTCGCCGTCTGGCTGGGCACAAGGGCAGGCGGCACCGCCCCCCACGCCTGCGCCATCCACTCGCCGTCGGGCGTGAGCACCACCACCGACCAGCCCGCGCTCCTGATCATCGGGAAGTCGTTGTTGACGCAGGAGCCGTCCGTGAAGACGAGGGTGCCCGCGGGCACCACGAGCGCGCCCTCGCCCCAGCCGCGCGAGCGGCGCTCCCAGCCAGGGTCCCAGCGCGGCCTCTGCACCAGGTACTGGGCGTCAACGAAGAGGCCCTGGCAGAAGAGCTCCTCGTAGCGGTGGCCCATCGTGCTCACCAACTCGGCAGCTCGCTTCAAGTCGGCGGGCCTGCGATCTCGCCGCCAGCCCTCCCAGGCAGGGCACCTGTGGTGGCGGTGGGCCAGAGTCCCGCTCTCCTCGCCGCAGAGCAGGCAGCGGTCGTCGATGTCGGCGCCGCGCTTGGCCAGCCTGGCCTGCGGCCAGAGTGACAGAGTCGCCAGCCTGCGCAGGCAACCGCAGTGGTGGCTGGACCACGTCTCCGTGGGCGCGGCGCCGAGGAGCTGGTTGATAGCCCGCCAGTTTGGCGGCAGCTGCCACGGCCACAGGGTCTCAGGCCTGGCGTCGTACTCCTGGAAGGCTGCCGCCTTCCTGGCCGCCTCTTTGGCCTTCTCCGCAAAGAAGGCGGGGGAGTACCGCAGGACGGAGTAGCAGCACCCGAACTCGTCCTGCAGGAAGTCGCCGTCGTCGCTGAGGCCCCAGCCGATGACCTGCAGCGTGAGCACCAAGGCCGAGATCGGGTCCCTGACGGCAGCCCAAGGGCGCTGGAGCCTCACGATCCTGGCGCTCTCCGCGATGCAGGCCTGGATCGCCGCCGCGGAAGCCTGGCCTGCCCAGCGGACGTTGGTGTAGGCGAGTACGGCCAAGCCCGTGGCCACCACTAGCGGGCCCTGGCGCCAGCCGCGCGGCGAGCACTGCAGCAGGAAGCCCAGCGCAGCCCCAGGAGCCAGTTTGCCCATCGCCTTGGCCGCTGCAAGCCTCAGGGCTCTCATGCGGCCAGGCGGGATGCCGTTGCAGGCCGAGCCCCATAGGGCTTTGGCAGAGGGGCCCGCGCGCAAGACCCTCGCCTGCCGAAGGCCAGGCCCGAAGATCTTGTGGAGCCTGCTGGCCTGCCGCAGCGCCGCGAGCTCCCTGCCGACCTGAGTCGCAACTCGCCTGTGGCTGCCAGCCGTGGCGTCGACGCCGAGGTCGCGGTGGCCCGAGACGAAGGCCTCCGCCGCGAGCTGCCAGTCGGGTTCCTGCTGCAGGCGGCGCTGGAGGCCCACCGTGGAGGCCAAGACCTTCGTCTTCGTCCAGTTGATGGGCAGCCGCTTGTCCGCCAGCATCTCGACAACGCCGCTGACGAAGCTCGTGATCGTTCGGCTGAGCGTCGCCGCCGACCCGATGCCGTGGCCTGCAATGTCGTCGATGACGTTGACGACCCTGCCGACGGGCAGCAGCGCCCTGGCCTGGAGCAGGAGGTCGTGCAGCATGAGCCTGGCCAGCGTCGTCGCGCAGGAGCAGCCCGCGATGATGGTGCCGCTGACCTCAATGGGCTCGCTGATGGCGGCGTCCGCCGAGGCCCGGCGCGGCCCAGCGTAGACTACGCAGAGGGCCCTGAGCAGGCCGACGCTGAAGCCGCTGCCCTCCGCGGCCTGGCGCAGAAGGTCGTGGTCGATCCGCTCGTAGAACTTGCTGATGTCGAAGTAGACGGAGGCTGCCTCGAAGCCGAGCTGGCGGGCGAGCGCGAGCCCCAGGTTGTGGAGGTAGGCCGCCCTGTCACAGCTGGTGTTCGCATCCTTGCCTCAGACCTCGGGGAGCGGGTGGTCCGCCTCCCACTTGGCGCAGTAGCGGCGGCGCACCCTGCTCCAGATGCGCATCCACATGCTCATGAGGCCGATCGGGCGGCGGCCTCCGTCTGGCTCCCCCAGGAAGACTATCACCGTGGTGAAGAGGGCTGTGGGCTGCGGCTGCTGCTCCCAAGCCGTGAGCACCTCTGCCATCCTCTCGGCGAAGGGCCTGCCCAGGGAGAGGACCAGCCGCGGGTGGAACGCACCCCAGCCCAGCGCGGTCTGCTTCGGGAGCGACTTCGCCGCCTCGAGGATGTCGTCCGCCGTGATCGGGGGCAGCTCCATGGAGCAGATCCAGTCGGCTGGTCTGGTTTTGTGCTCCCCGTCGGCTCCTTTCCAAAGGGCCTTCCACTCTATGAGGATCTGGTCCAGGGCTTGCTGGCCAACAACAGGGAGCGGCAGGCTGTCGGGGCAGTGCGCGATCACCGAGTCCAGCACCTGGTCGCGGTCCTTTATGACAGCGTGGGCTCCTTTCGCCCCTTTCGCCAAGGCCTGGCCCACGAAGTCCTTCCAGCGCAGCCTGGCCGCCGTGGCGTCTTCTTTGCAGTGTCTCGCCGTCGTGCTCTCGATCACCTGCAGGAAGGCCTGCCCTTGCTCAGTGGGCTCCTGGATCACTTCGATCAGCGAGTCGAGCTTCGTGCCTTCGAACATGGCGCAGCCCGCCTGCTCGAACTTGGGCCCCAAGCTCTTGGCCACCTGCACCAGGTGCTTGATGTAGCCCACGTGCCCCACAGGGGGTGAACAGACCGCAGCAGCCGCACTTAGCTGCCTGGCGATCCTCCCGAGGCAGAGCCAGCACTTGGTGAGGGGGCTGAGCTTCCTGACAGCCTCCGTGCGCTGCAGGTCCGCCAGTTTCTTCCTGACGGTGCGGGGTCCTTTGGCCCTGCCCTGGTACCTCTCACCCTCGGAGATGCCGAACTGGTCGATCAGGTGGAGCTCCGCGGCCTCGAAGAACTCCTTGATCGCCGCGTCGGGCGTGCCGTCGCTGTCGGTGAGGGGGGCTGACCAGCTGATCTGGGTCGCCGCCTGCAGGGATTTCTCGCGCTGCTCAGCCGAGACCTCCGAGCCCACGTCAAAGAACCTGGGGGTCTTGAGGACCCAGATCATGGCGTTGCTGCCCAGCTCGCTGAAAGTGAGCCGCACTGGCGCGTGCGGGTGCAGGGTTGTGGGCTTGATGACCTCCACCTTCGGGCTGAGGCCAGCGAGCGCCGTGGAGACCACGAAGAAGTCGTAGATCTGGTCGCCGCAGGTGAAGGTCGTGGGCGCTACCACAACTCCGCCCACAGCCCGTGGCCACCACGAGGCGGCGAGGACGCCGGGGTCCATATTCCAGTCGGCCCCCACTATGAACGGCTCGTGGAGGCCGAGCAGGAACTCCTGGAGGTCCGACAGCAGCTCCAGGTTGTGGCCTGCCATCCTGGTCGAGTGCACGAGGTAGGCGCTGACCGCCGTGACCACGAGATCGCCACAGGCCACCCGTCGGGCCAGGATGCGGGCACTGTGCCGGTGCCAGTCGTGGTCGATCGCCGCCACGCCCCTGGTCGTTGACGCCAGCACCCCGACTCCCGCCGAGACCGCCTGCGCCGCCTGCCACGTGCTGTGGACGCTGCCGAAGGCGGCGTTGAAGCCGTTGCGCCTGGCCCAGCTGCAGGCGTCAGTCACCTTCTGGCTGGAGGTGAAGCGCGTCTCCTGCACCAGGATGACGTCTTCGCCTCCTCCATCGTCCTGGATCCGCTCCAGCTCCACCTGCGTCGCTGACCAGGTCGAGCCGTTCAGCGTGACGAAGCTGGCTCGCTTCGCTCCCGCAGGCCTGATCAGCTTGGCCAGCTGAAGGGGCTTGGCCTGCGGTCGCCCAGGCTGGGGCTGGGCCGCAGGCTTCGCGGCTGCCACGGCGGCCGCGCGGCCGCCAGGCGGGCGGCTGCTCGCCGCCTTGGGGCTCCGAACCTCAGGGGGTCTCACGCCCTCGCCCGTAGCCTCGTCAACTTGAATTGGGTACCCACGATTCCTTATGGGCCCCTGGCTGGGCTGAGGACTGCCAGCCCTTCGGTCGGGCCCAGCCAAGTCCGCCGCAGCGCTTGGCTCTGTCCTGCTGCTGAGCGCCTCGAAGGCGTCGGCCTCCTCGTTGGCCGCCAGGTAGGCGTGCAGGCCGCCGCTCAGCGCCGCCGCCGCCACGGAGCGGCTGGGCGCCGCCGCCTCCGCCTCCTCAGCCCCGCCTGGGGCGGGCGGCGCCGCGCTGTCGGGGCCGCCGCCTGGCAGCAGGGTGCTACCCGCGGGCCTGGCCACTGCCAGCAGCAGCGCCAGCAGCAGGTGGAGGGGCCGCCGCAGCGGCCTTCTGGTCGGCAGCGCGCTGGCGGGCCGCCTCGCCTGCCGCTCGGCTCTCCACGGCGGCCGCTGGGGGGATCCCAGCTCCTGGCGCAGCGCCCGCGGCGGGGGCGGCGGCGGCAGCAGGGGCGGCCGCCTGTCCTGCGGGCTGCGGCGGGGCCGCAGCGCCCTGCTCGGGGGTGCCAGCGGCCACGGCTGCTGCAGGCCCCTCCTCGGTGCGCTTGCGCTTCTTGGCCACCTCCTCCTCGATCTGGCGCTTGATGCGCTGCTGGTGTTCCTGGCAGTTGCGCTCGAACGTAGCCTGCGCGCCCTGCATGATCTGGAGCCCCTCATCGCAGAGGCGCCTGAGGGTGGCCTGCGCCTCCTCCTCCAGCTCCGCGAAGTTGTCGAACGACTCCGCGTCGAAGTTGAAGGTGAGCTGCCTCGCGCCGTCGGGCTGGGCGCCCACGACACCAGCCGCCTGGGCACGCTGGCGCAGGAGGGCGTTCCCCTCCTCCTTGGCCTCCGCGAGGTTGACCGCAGCCTCGTCGCGCCAGCCGCGGCACACAGCGAGGTGGTCCTCCGCCGCCACGAGCGCGTCCGCCGCCTCGCCGAGCTGGCGCTGGAGGTTGATCCGCTTCGCCGTGGCCGACTGCAGCCGCTGCTCGAGCGGCTTCGGCGCTGGGGCGACCGCGGGCGCGACGTAGCCCCGCGCGTCGCGGACCGCCTCCTGCAGCCTGGCCGCGATGGCGGGGTCTCCACAGGCGAGGAGCGCGTCGAGCTCGCTCTCGGGCGGGGTCGACCAGGGGGCCTTCGGGAAGGCGCCTCCGCCACGGCCGCCCGCGCCACCGCCGCCGCCGCCACGGGAGGCTGCACCGCGGCCCTTGCCGCCCTTGCCGCCCTTGAAGGAATCCTCCAGGGGCTGAGGCCTCCTGGGCACATTCCTTAACCAACGCCCCCACCGTACTCGATGTGACACTCCAGAG